GCTCTCGACTCAGGACAACGCGCGGGCGCTGTACAGCTTCTTCAGCGCCGCAGAGGGGCTCAGTGGCTTCCAGGACCACTTCGACTGGTGAGGAACCAGTGGGGCTGGGGTGTAGCTCGGACGTTGTCTCGTCTCCCCCACCTGTGCCAGGCAGCCTCGCTCCTGCCCTCTGCCCCTGGAGTTGGCCCCTCCTGCCCCTGCTTCTCTTCTCTCCACTCCGCTCCCCATGAGTTGGTTGCCCTGATTGCAGCCCTGGTGCAGGCACCGGGTTCCCTTCCTCCCAGCCCACCCCCTGCCACTGAGGGGGTGCTTTGCAGGGCCCAGCACAGGTGTCCTGGGCTTTAAGGGCTAAGCAGAGCCTAAGAGTGCTGCATGTGATGGGCCTTGGCCTAGCCAGCCCCGTTGCCCACCAGCTGCTCCCTGTGCAGCAGCCCCATGCCAGCACTGCTCCCACTGCCCTGCGTTGCAGGTGGGCGAGAAACCACTTCTCCTGCCAGGGTGGGAAGCCCCTGTGGATTGACCCCCACGACCCTGACGTCCACCACATCTGCATCGATGACAACATCCGGCTGGATGATTCAGACACGATTGTCTGCCCCCAGGTACTGAGCCTGCTGCCCCCGCAGCATGTGGGCCCGGCTGCGGGTGGGATCTGCACTGCATCTTGCGGAGGATGAGATCGCCTGTTGGCACGGCAGGTGTGCATCCCTGCATTGGCTTCTGTGACTCATCTGTGTAGCTGCTCCAGCCCGCCAGCTCTCATGCTAATGCCCGCTCAAGAGCAGAGAGCACAATGCCGCCCGGGGTGTATGGAGGGAGCTGCCCCCTCTCCTGCCAGGTGGCCCAGCTCCCTGGCTTGCACCCCCCAAGCAGGTGCTGGGAGAGTGGCAGGCCGAGGGAGGTCAACTGTCTCTGAATAGCTGGCATCCGGTTGGCGCCACACAGCGCTGTTGGCACGAGGCCCCTGGGAGGGGGTGACTGCGGTGCTTGCACATCAATAATGTAGCAGCTCTCCAGGAGAGGTTGTAGCATGAGGCGCTGCTCGCTACCGGCTTTTCTCTCATGTTTGCTGCAGCCACCGGGGAAGGGGTCTCGGAGCATGCTCAGCAGTGGTAGCCCCAGGGGTCCTCACCCCCCATCCCCTGGGTTTTGGTCTGAGTCCCTTGTGCTGAGCCAGGCACCCATTGTCTGCCTGCCTGCCAGCCCAGGTCCCCTGCTTGGGCTGCCATGACCGATGCTAGGAGGACAGCTTTGGGCCTTCAGCACAGTTTCCATGCATCTTGCTCAGACTTGTTAGCGGCTGGGTCATGGAGGGGTCCTCATCGCTGCAGAGGCAGCTGCCCCCCCACCAGTAATGCTCTAGCTGCAAAGCCCCAGGAGCCACCGTGCGGGGAGGAGGAACCTGAGTGAGCAGCCCAGACCCCAGCGATGGTGGGCGGCTCTTGCAGGCATTCCTGGGACTCTGCTGCTTGAAGACGCGTCCCCTCCCCTGGAGAAGGCTCTGCCCTTGAGGGAAGAGTCAAGGGCTGGGAGATCTTCCCCGCTGAGCTTCTGTAGCCCCTTGCTGGTGCACAAAGCAGAGTGGGTAATGCAGCTGGTGGCAGGGCAGGACTTATTGCCAGTCTTTGTGCCAGCGTGCATGGCGGGGGGTGTGCTCCTGCTGTCCCTTGCCCAGCTCTGATGCCTGTTCTCCTCCCCAAAGGTGTTTTCAGAGCCAGGGGGCAGCTGCCTCAGGCTGGCACCCACTTCAGAGCTGTATGGTGTGTGCCTGGTGCAGACCGACCTGCTGGAGGCCATCGCGGACGAGGACTACTTCCTCCGCTGTGTGAGACAGTGTGAGGAGAACTATGAGCGCTACCTGGCCAGTGCTGGGAGCCAGCTGTAGAACAGCCAGTGAAGGCACTGGGCCCCTGCTGTCTGCACTGAGCCCCGACTGCTGCTGCTTCCAGCTGGGTTCTCCCTTCTCCCCAGCTGGGGCGGGGCATGGGCCTCCGTGGAGGTGTCCATACTCCAGGAGCTCACTTGACTGGCATCCACAGGACATAGATGCATTCCCTGAGCCCTGGCAGCAAGAGGGGTGTTTTTCTCCATTGCCATTTGGCTGCTGGAAGGGCTGCTGGGGCGAGCCCTGCTGCAGGGTGCCCCTGGGCCACGCCTGGTGCCCACCACTGATCTCACACTGGGTTTGTGAGCACTTCTGCAGGGACCCTCCTGTTCCACGTGCGCAGTGCCTGGCACGGAGGAGCATGGGACTCTGGCTGCAGTGACCATATCTGTAGTCCTGGCGTGGCTCTGCCACAGCCCTGGCATGGCCATTTTGCTGTGAATCCTATTGCCTGGTGTGACCACGTTGTGCGTGGCTGCCCTTGCTCCCCCACCTGTGCCACGGTGTGTGCCCCTCCTGTGCATTCTTAAATGTGTTTTTATCATATGTGTGTCTGCCATGAGTTGGATCCTAGCGCCTGGCGGAGGCAGGGGCTCTGCTCCTTACAGTTGAGGTAGGGGCTGGGAGAGGGCAGCAGGGCACGGGCCTGGAGCCTTATCTAGGCTCTTCTGCTGCCCCCTGGGCACCCACAGGCAGGGCGTTTCCCAGCATAGTGGGTCCCTTGGGCAGAAGCTGCCTTGGAGGTAATCATCAGGGCTGCAGACTGGCATGGAGGAGCCTGGCCTGGGGGCCACACCAGCAGGGACAGCCTCGCCCAGTGGATGCGCAGGGGCCTGGTCTGGGCTGAGGAGGAAGGTGGGGGCGCTGCTTCCTCTGCAGGGGCAATGGAGCTGGCTTGTTAATGGTCCCTGGGGAGCACAGCCCACATGGGAGCCCCATGGCAGCACAAGTAGCCTGGCAGGAGTGTCCACCCTGCCTGGGGAGGGGTGGGAGCTGCGCTGCCATCGGGCAGGGGCTCTCCACTTCTGCCAGCCAGGATCCAGCCATGCCGTCCTGGCAGCTAAGGGAGGCGGCTGCAGCCGTGTTGCCCTGCGGCACCCGAGGGAGCTGGCAGGCAGGTCCCTGCTGCTAAGGCGGGCTCTGGCTGGGGCACTGGGTGTTGTTGGCAGGGCTGAGACCGCAGGCAGCTCCGGGCGTCCCTGGGGCTCCCTCTGCTATCGGGGAGCGGCTCGGGCAGCACGGCCGGCCCTGCCTGGGGCTGGGGCAGGAGCTGGCTCTCCCGCAGGAGGGTGCGGGGCTGGGCCAGAGGTGGCTGCCTGCCCCGTGGGTCCCGCAGCTCCTGGCCCGCGGCCGGGTTGCGGGTCCGCCCGCTGGGGCCGCGCCAGCTCTGCAGGGAGGGGTCTGCCGCTCCCGGGGTGGGGGCCACGAGCGCGGGCTGCAGC